AATTAAAAAAGTTTATTTAGTGATTTTCTGCTAATTTATTATTGCTGTTTTTTTGAGGTTAACCAAACACAGAACACTGGGCACTCTATTTAATAGAATACATTTAAAACTATTTGTATATATATATATATATATATATATATATATATATATATATATATATATATATTATATATATATATATATATATATATATATATATATAATTATGTAAAATGTTATTATAAAAATATATTTTTTAATAGTTTAATTTTTTTAGGAACTAAAGAAATTTATCAATTTATCATATAGATTACAACCATGTGCTTACTTATTACAACTACATTGTAAAACGTTGAAATCAATATCGATTATAAAATTAAGGATTTTGTTTTTTTCTCTTTTGAAGGTGAAATTTTTTTTTATTTGAAAGTGTTCAGCAGAAATCATAAACGTTTATGGGAAAACAAAAAGTTTAGATAAAGGGAATATATCAAAGTTAATATGTTACCTTTAAAACTATCTTTATTATAATTAACAGTTAAATTTATTTTTTTTACTCATATAGAAACGAGATATAGATATAGCTCATATAGAAACGAGATATTGTGTCAAGTAAGAGGTTTTCAACTAGGTCGTTTAACAACGATGGAATACCTTCTAATTGTCAAGAATTTACGCTCAACAATAATAAGTAATAAAACACAAGACTAAAAGCTCATCTGGCTGAAAACCAGAAGTATGAAAATAATAATATTGAAAACATTAACGAAGTTAACAACATAACGAAAACAAAAATAACTTTAGAGGAGGTATTAACAAAATCAGAAAATAATAGAAATTCCTTTTGAATTTCGAATATTGAGTTACTCTATAATGCGTAAATACAACCTGAATCCTTTTCATGGTTTGGATAAGACCAAATGCACAGCAGAGGAATTATTAATATATAAGGCATATAGAAGAGCAGAGTACAATTAGAAAAAAACTGAAAGACAAATGGCAATAAACAAAGTAGAGAAGAGAAAGGTAGAAATACCAAAAGCGTATAATAAAAGCAACATACAAGTTCAAAGTGGCTCCGCATACGACCATAGCGAATGGATTTGAAATTATTATAACAAATCAAAAAGTAAACATTCAAACTTAAAATACTGAAAAACTAAAAAAAATTTATTAAATATAAAAAAAAAAAAAAAAAAATTATAAAAAAATAATTAGGTTGGCGAGCAAAGAAAAGGAGGCGGAAAAGATGACCAAAACAGTTTTTTTCAAAACTTCAAAGTGTAAAAGCAATTAACGTCTCAAACAGAACAAAGAAGATGTTATCAGCGACGAAACGGCTAGGCTTCTTTACAAGATGAAACAAGTGGCGAAAGGAACAGCCCATTCGGATTTCCAAATGGTATACAGCGACGATGATAGCGATGACGAGGAGAATGATGGTGAAACTACTGATGTTAGAAATCAAAGAAAACCCCAAACAAAACCAATTAAATTCGCACTAGCTACGAAAACAAACCATTAAAAAAAAAAAAAAACCATTACCCAAAACACTTCTATCTGAACTATGATGTCTAATTAACATTGAAGATATTATAAATGCCTTAGAAAAAAATCACTTAGACCAAAAACTTAAAGGACTACAATTAAGCAAACAAAACAAAATGTTAGAACTAATTATAATGTGAGAGGCAGCCAGAATATTCCTTCTTAAAAAAGGGCTTGACATTCAAGGCTACCATCACACCTTCACAAAATCAAGCCCTTATAGAAAACCGCTAATAGATGTAAACCATCGACAAACTTAACATTCTTGGATATGCAGTAAAAACCAAACATAATGGTCAAACGGAAAACGAAAAGAATAATGAAGAAAACAAAAAAGACCAACAAATAGTTACAACGGAAGCTAACAACATAGTCGATACAAACTTAACATTCTTGGATATGCAGTAAAAACCAAGCATAATGGTCAAACGGAAAACGAAAAGAATAATGAAGAAAACAAAAAAGACCAACAAATAGTTAAAACGGAAGCTAACAACATAGTCGATGCATAGACTTACATAACTGAATCTAACAGCATAGTCGATGCATAGACTTACATAACTGAATCTAACAATGTTAAATCAGTAAAATTTGAAATTGACCTATTATTGAGAAAGAAGAGGCGGAAACAATTAAAATTAAAACAATAAAAATTAAAAGGAACAGATAACTTATATAGATACTAAAACGACCGAAAAAAAAACTACTAAAACACCAAAAGAAGATAGAAGAAATTAAAGAAACAGAAGATAAACAAAGGAACAGAAGAACGATGGAAAGCGGAGACGTATCGAGAAAAGAAATTTTATCTTCTGTACTAGATACATTGGAAGTAATTTAAACCAATAACATTAACGGCCTCAATACTAAGGCAAAAAGAAACAATCTAATGATTTTTTTCCATAAATTAAGTAACGACATTTTCTGTATAAAAGAAACTCATAGCACGGATAAAACTGCGAATGAATGGGCTATTGAGTGGAAATACAAAACTATTGGAAACTCGATATGGAATAGTGGTAATAGCCATGAATGCTGTAAAAAAGAAATAAAAATAGACCTGTTCCCAGTCCGGTTGCCGTAAATTTAAAGCATTGCATTCTGGTATTGCTAACGGGGTAATTTTTATTATTTACTTTTTTATTATAAACTTTTTGCTGTAAATTATTTTTAAGTAATGTCTTTGCTAAATGATTTGAAAGATTTGAAAGAAAATAAAGTTGATGAAAATGTGTTTGCTTGTGGGAAAAGCGAAGCTATAGATTAAAAAGCAAAAAAATCTACTTCTAAACCATTGACAGACTCTATGACTGAAGACGATTTTTTAAAGTGGAATATGTCTGAATTGCAGAAATTTTTATCAGATAGACTTGTAAATCAAACCGGAAATAAAGCAATTTTAGCAAAGAATGCTTACTATGCTTACTGCTTAAACTTGCAAGTTCAAGTGCAGAGTGCCCAGGAAAATGAAAATGAGTTTAAAATGAAAATGAGTTTAAAAATGACAAGTTAAAAAAAAGGAAAATTTTATCACAATTAATTGTAGACCCCATATTATTAACTAATGGATGGGTTATTGGTCCTTCATTATTTCCAGATGTAACATTTGCAGAAGTTCAGTTTTATTTAAACAAAAAAAACGCTGGGAAAGCTTTTAGAGGTGGTAAAAGTTTATTTGAATCAGACCATCTTTCAAATATTCGGTATCACAATATTAGTTTTGACTCTGAATATTGCTACATTGCAGCATATATTGTTTGCCTGGACAAAAAATTAATAACCCTATTTATAATGTTTGGGTGTTAATTAACAAAAAACATAGTACTATAAAATGTGCAGATTGTGATTGTGCAGCTGGGTATGTTTATTAAAACTTTATTTCAGAGTTATATGTCTTTGTTAAAATAAAAGTTGTTTTTATTTTTGTTTTATGTCTTAGTCTAAGACTTAATAAGTAACTTTATTTTATTTAAAAGTTTAAATTGTTTCAAAATCTTTGTTTTGGAGCGTAGTTTAAAAAAAGATACACTACTGCAAATATTTATTATTTTTATTTTATTGATTTGATTTAATTTTTTAATTTCAGAATCTCTGGTTGCTGTAAACATGTTGGAGCACTTTTATGGTATGTTGAACATAGTGTAAAAGTTGGTGCCAATAAAACATGTACATCGAAACCTCTAAAATGGCTCAAACCATCAAAGAAAGTTCAAAAACTATATGGACCCTCAATATTCTGTGAAATTGAAATTGAAAGACCTTCTTTAAAAGACAAATTAGTGTATAGAAAAAAGTTTCAAACCGCTTACATTTTGATCTACGTGCCACAAATCAGCGAGAGGTTACCATGTCGCAGGAAGATGTTGATTCTTTAGCACAATTAACAAATTATCATTGTGGCTATGTCATGCTTATGCAAACAAAAAATGTTGTTCCTGTGCCTGATATTTCTAACATTGCTCAAGAAATTGAAGTTCATACTTCCTTGCAGCCATTTCTCCCTAAGACATCTTTTGAAATTGTAACTTATTTTGATTGTAAGATTTTATATAAATTTTTATTGAGGCAGTTAGCTATAAATTTTGACGAAATTTCTCTACTAGAACATCTAACCAGAAAGCAGTCGTGTAATAATAATTGGCATAAACACCGCAAAGGCAGAGTTACTGCATCAAAAGTTTATAATGTTGTTCATAGAGTAAATAATGAACTAGAAATCATATGTCCAGAAAAATTAACATCTATTATTATTGGTGTGTTAAGTAAGTCAAAGTTTTTTCAAACGAAAGCTACTTCTTGGGGTTTACGTCATGAAAAAGATGTACTTAAAGCATACTGGAAAGAAAATAAAAAAAAACATAGATTTATGAAAATGACTGAATGTGGTTTATTTGTAAATAAAGATTTACCGATAGTTGGTGCATCACCAGATTCCCTTGTTCATTGTGATTGTTGTAGCACTGGATGTGTAGAGGTTAAATGTCCTTAGACCCATAGAGGTTTAACTATTCCAGAATTTGCCAATATCAAAGGTACCTGTTTAATTTTTGAAAATAACACAATTGTTCTTGATCGTCAACATTCTTATTATAGTCAAGTGCAGTGTCAAATGGCCTCAACAGGTTTTTCATATTGAGATTTTGTTGTCGGAACTTCTAAAGACTTATTTAGTTATCGTGTTCCTTTTTTTAGTGATTTTTGGCAAAGTTGTGTTCAAAAAATTGAATATTTTTACAAAACTATGATTTTGCCTTATGTGATAAATGAAGTGATTTCTCAGACTGTTGAGTCTGTTTTGAATGAAACTTTATTGAAAATTTGTATAAATGATATAATTGATGATGATATTGATTTTTTTTATATCGTAACATTTAACATTAGCAAATTAAATAATGTCTATTTTTGTTTATTAAATTTAATTTAATGGGTTTAACAAGAAATATTCTAATGTTTTAAAATTGTCTTGTATTTTAAATATTGTCATGACTCCTGCAATTAACTAATGGAGGTGCTAAATTAGTTATAGCTTCAATAATAATAAAGATATGGTCTAGCATATCAATCATACTCAGCGGTAAAGGTGTTTGCAGCAATCGAAAGTATTTTACACGAGCAATTGCGCGCTCTACGTGAATTCCTGCTCGGGCTATCAGGGCAGTTTTAGAAGTTAACGTACTTGTAAACTTCCCTTTGTTTTTAAGAAATGGTGGTATTTCTAATTTAACTTTTCTGACAATTAAAAGATCACTGATATTAAATCCTTTATCCATCATTACAATATCTCCTTCATTTAATGTGTCTAGATAGCCTGATGTTTCGACAATATATCGGTCTGAAGATGAACCACCGTATGCTTGAGAAATATAATTTATCATTCCGGAAGGTGCTATGCCGATAGCTTTTTTCCAAGTGTTTCGATTTTTGTAACTCGAATATGTTTGGGCTTGTGCTTTAGCAATACTTAGTCGCTCACATTGACCTTCTGTGCAATCTAATATTGACACCACATTATCTCCAAAAGGCCTAAAACATTCTGGATTACAAGTTTTATTTTGCTCCCGAGTAACTGGCTGGATAAAAATTAAAAATTCGAGTGCTAATAAAGGAATCCAGGTACTTAGGGTGCGAGGAACAGTAGCTTTTGAAAGACCGAAACGATAAGCCAAGTCTTCATGGCTACAGCCCATTCGAATCTTCATTAAAGTCAAAAGCATAAGGTCTTTACTGTTCATTTGTTGTAACGGACCAAACATTTTCATGTTGCTTGATTTGTTGCTTGGACCGCTTTTTGAAATGGAGCCAAGGTAGTTTGTCAGAAATGGAACCTTATGTTGAAAGCGTTTATATAACTAATCATACATTAAACCTGTTTGTATACCCGTCATATTTTTCAATAACGTATCATTTTCACTTCTTTCAGAGTAAGATAATCTTTGCGACTTTTTAATTTTATCTTTTAAACCAATAATCACTTTATTAAGATTTGTTATTGTTAGATTTGCCACGCCTAGTTGGTTATATAAACTAAAACAATCATCTTGCTTTTTTCGTAAAAGTAAATGATTATCTTCTTGAAACATCCTGCACCGTGCACTGCTTTCCGCATCAGCAATACAATAATTATGAAAATCATTAGTTTCTGTAGTCCCTGTATCTACTTGTATATCTGTATATCCCTGTATATCTTGTATAGTTGTATTAAAATGAGTAGTACTGCCAGAATGGGATGGCGTATTGAGTTTTTTTTTTTTTTCGGTGGCTCTCTTATATTTAGTGGTTTACGTTTAACTTTATCATTTGTCATGTTATATCCTTGCATGTATAAAGTTGGTACGTTGCATTCTGTATTGTAAAAACCTGCAGCAAAGTGGTTAGAGCAGACTTTAGTAGATCCTACACGAGCAACAAAATTAGTATTCTTTCCGTTTTTATCCACAACTGTTCTATTTATTGACTTGGTCCATAGCTTTGCATCTTTAAGATTTTTGGAAGAATGCCATCACAGCATGCCAACATGACTTTTGATAACACGCCTAAAAATAATGAGATTTTAAAAACACTTTTACGACTTTCTGTTTAATTATGTTATTAAAATCACCATCATTTAAGACAACAAAATTTATTAGTAAGAAAACGGATAATCTTGTATTTCAATATGATTGATAAACATATAAAAAAAAACGACGCCTATCCCCTAAAAATGTTCTCGGTACGGGTCTAATTATTTTTAAGAACTTTGCTAATCGATTAGCAAAGTTCTTGAAAAAATATATACATTGCTACAATGTTTTAAAACTAAAACATTTTATAAAACTTTCCTTAACATTTAATCTAACTTTTTTATTTTCACATGTGTGAAAGCATTCTCACATGAGTCAATAGTTATAATGCTATATAATAAATTTTCTTAAAACAATTCTAAATTTAGTTAGCTAATTCTTAATAAAATGCTAAATTTAATTAGATAGTTTATTTGTATTGCATCAATTAATACTTAATTGTATCAATTAATACTTAATTGTATCAATTAATACTTACTTTTCTTCATCATTTCTCGGATAGTTACGGTATCCAAAAACAGCACAGTAATCTCCATTAATCTTTTTTTTACTGATTGCTAATATTTTATTCTGGTATTTACGTTTTTATAACAATTTACAAAACTTTTTCTTCTTCTGAGCATTCGCAATAAAAGCAATGTTTTAAATTACCCCTTAAAAAGATCCAGAATGCATTGCGGCAAATATCACGCGGTCTCACTGGAAACAGGTCTATTGAAAAAATTACACAGGATAAAAAAGGTAGAATTCTTGCTGCCACTGCAATCTTTAAAAAATTGTTAATAAGGATAATAAATAATTATGCACCAAATATACACCAAAATAAGGATGTTTTTTTTTTGAGAAACGTAACAAACAAGCGCGACTTTATGATTTTCTTATATTATTGGGAAACTTCAACATGGTTGAAAATCTAAATTTAGATAGAGAAGGTGGAAATTTATACAACCTTAACCACCAAATCGGTATAAAAAATCTAAACATATTTAAAAAGCAACATAAAGTGAATGACGTGTTTAGAACGCTCTTCACACTCGAACGAGTTTTCGCATAGGATTTCTCATAGGACACAAATTTATTAAGTGATGCAAACTTTAAAGATAGAGTGATTAAAGAATTAAAAACAATAAAACAAAAAATTTAAATACAGTAGTAATAATTAGTGGAATGATATAATAAAAACCCGCATTAGAGATATCGCCATTAAAACAGCGAAAACAAAAGAAAAAAAGCAAAGAAAACAAAAAGAGACGTTGTTAGAAAAACGAATTGAACTTGAAAAAATAAAACTAACATAAATTATGACAAAATTAAGCAAGTCCAAAGGGAGAAAAAAGAACAGAGGAATATTCGTAAGATCAAAACAAATTATATATGAAGAAGGTGAAAAACCAACAAAATCTCTCTTTCAAATGGAAAAAGATAGTCAAAAGAAAAAAAATATTAAAAGTATTCAAGATGGGTATTGTCTACATAAAGACATGAAAAACATCTTAAAATTATTAGGAAATTTTTATAAACGTTTAAACAAAAAACAAATTTTAGACGAAGAAAAACAAAAACATTTTATAGACAAAATTGAAAACATTCTAAGCGACTACCAAAACGCCCATTTAAACAAACACTTTAGTAACGAAGAACTCCACAAAACGGCAAAATCCTTAGGATAATGAAAAACCCCAGGCATTGACGGTATCCCAATTGAGTTTTACCAAGAATATTGGGACATTTATGGTGAGGAGCTGACTAAACATTTTAACAAAAACATTTTAACAAAAACATTTGAACTTAAATAACGAATTATCTCGGACACAAAAAACAGCAAAAAACAAATTGAGAGAGGTGTCCGTCAAGGGGACCCAATATCCCTCATGCTGTACTGCCTAGCAGAGGAATCACTGGCTCGTAAATTTCAGCCTAATAGGCTTACAGACGGCATTCCGTTGCCAGGAACTAAATCAAACCTCAAAGTAATCCAGTACGCAGACGAAACTGCATTATTCGTACGAAACGAAAAAGCCAGCTACTTCTACACACAAATGAAAGTAGATATTACTGAAGTAAAAACAAGTTTTTAAGAAGTAGAGTTATTAACATTTGATTATCAGCAAAACATGCCCCTGCCTCATTTGGTAAATGGTGATGTTTTTTTCAAACGTCAGTTTTGGAATACATTTTTTGTATGTACGCAGCTATTCTCAAAAGTCTTATTTCTTTATGTATGATAAAACAGTTGGCAATAAAGGACAAAATGATGTAAGCTGTCTGGACTTTTTTATTCACAATTTTTCTTGCTGCTTAAGTCAAAAAGCTCAACTTGTATTCTGACAACTGAAGTTCACTAAATAAAAATAATAAACTTGCTCATTATCTATATACTTTAGCTCATACCAAAAAACTTGTCAATATAATTCATCGATACCCTAAAGCAGGACACAGCTTCTTACTTTGCGACTGTAGATTTGAGTTGATAGAAAAAGAAAAAAGAAAGAATACTTTTACTTGAAGAATGAGTTTCTTTAGTAAAAGTTCCTTGTCGCAAATTTATTTTTGTCATTTTTCATTTTCGATTTTTTTTTTAACATTTAATTTCTTTGACTTATCAAGATTTACTAGGTCGACACTTTTTAAAGCCTGTTTACACTAAAGATTTTTTTGCAAATAAATATAGATAATGAGCAAATAAATTTTTTTTTGTTAATTTTTTTTTTGGAATAATAATTTTTGTTGATGGCAAGTAAAAACTAATAAACGGGGAGGGGGTCTCATAAGCTCGGTTGGTTGGAAATGTTTTCCAAAAATGATGAATGCCCCGCCCCACCTCCAGGAGCAGGTCAAAGCAACTTTGGAAAAGGTAAAAGAACTGGAAAATGATTTTTACCAATTTTTTCTATGGCGGAATTTTAATTGCTATAAAATTTAGTTTTCCAAACAGAACTACAGAATGCTGTTTTCATTTTAATCAATCGATGTTAAAGATTACATAAGCCGTAGGATTACAAACAGAATATGTTTATGACTATTGTAATAAGAAAATGGGGATAAAACATATAGGTTTGTGTATGCTTCCTAGCTACTTAGCACAAGGGGAGTTAACAAAATATAAATTTATAATTGGCGTGCAAACGTTTCAAAAAATAAAAAGGTTTGAATCAAACTTCGTTCATTATATAAACTATTTTTCAGATTTTAGACTAAAATATCGTACCAATAATGATTCTGAATCACTTCATTCAAAAATGAGTCAAAAAGCTTTACTCATAATCTGACAACTGTAGTTCACTCAATAAAAATCATACACTTGCTCATTATCTATATATTTTAGCTTATGCTAAAAAATTTGTCAATATAATTCATCAATACCCTGAACCAGGACACAGCTTTTTACCTTGCGACTGTAGTTTTGGGTTGATTGAAAAAGAAAAAAAAGAAAGGCTATTTTTACTTGAAGAATTAGTTTCTTCAGTTAAAAATACTTGTCGCAAATTTATCGTTGTACCAGTAACCAGAGAGCTGTTCTTGAACTTTAGTAGCTATTTCATAAAAAGGTCTTAAATAAACGGAAAAAAACGTTTTTAATCTTATCTAACTGTGTGATGGATTACTCATAAAATTATGTACAATGCAGCAGTTTAACCAGTATTTTTTAAAGAAGATTTTGTTCTTCAAAAATGTGGAGCCTGTCTGACTTTACCAATTAATGACATTCATCTGTATTCTGTTCCAATACCCCAAAGTATTTACAAGTAAAAGAACTTGCAGCCAAATATGTTCCATCGAAATATATGTGGTTTTAGGACACGTTAAAGTGCAAAGGTGCAGAACAAGACGGGTGGTTAGTAAAAATCCGGATAATCTTTCAAGTGCAATTACTCCCAAATTTTTTATGGTAGATATTAAATAAAACTATCATTAAAAAGAGTTTTTAGTTATTTATTTATTTTAATTAAGTTTGTCTTCAACCAGTCTGTTTCTTCGGATTCGGCCAACTCTAACACGAGTTGACCCAAAAAGTGAAAAAACAAAGTCAAGGTCAATTTTTTTCAGGCAAAGCTTTATTCTGGTTCGTAGTTGTTTCACGTCTTTTGCTTGCCAGTTACTCTTATACACTTTGCCTTTCAAAATAGCCCAAAAGTCTTCGATTGGGCGACACTCCGGTACGGCTGGCGGATTGTCAGCTTTTTTGATAAAAT